CCAATATCCACCAATATGCCATCTTGACTTTGTCATAACCAGATGGTATTACAGATAGAACTGACAAACTTCTTACCTGACTGATCACAAATAAAATATGTTATAAATGTAAAAAAAAAAAAAGGTTTCAAATTTAAATAAATTCTTTGAGCGTGTGTTTGTTCCTCTCTGAGACCAACATGGCTGTTTCCCCCAATATCACTGAGGAAAATTGTCTGCATGGTCATTTCCTGACATGCTCAGCGCATCGACGCGTTGGTCTCTCACTTCAGGCTGGTGAAGATATCCCAAGACAAATAGTCATTCATGATTGGCAGACTTGTAAAAACATTGATACTTTTACAAACTGCAACCACATCACTTCCCTTTATCAGAGGGAAAACAATGAATCACTCGCTCCTCCGTCGGTGCAAAGCTGTTGTTTTGCTTCGGTTTCGCTGTCTCTCGGTCAGAGAAATCTTGCATGTAATTGAGGCTTTCAAATGTTGTTTTGGAAAAGTTAGTGAGACTCGTGAGGCTTACCCATCAGAACCGCCTTTACCCTTACCGCCTTTGGTGCCAAGTAATGTCAAGCGGATGTAACCCAACACACACTCTCGGATTCGTGCCTGTGGGTTAATGTGTCTAAATGGGACGGATAAAAATGGAGCAGTGCTGTGTTTGCTGATTCACAGACGATAGCTGCTCAGGATGAATGAATAGTCTCAGACGGAGATGGGGGGAAAGAAAAGACGAACGGAGTTAAAGAGGAATGAGAAGCTAGACTGAAGTACAGATGTGTGGACCAGATTAGAGGTTTTCAGCGCGGATGGGAGGATGGAGGATTAAACTGTGGAGGAAAGAATGACAAAGGAGAGAGTTGGTAAAGGGCAGGAGGCTGTGACAGACAGAGGAGACGGAGTGAGAAAAGGTCAGAGGCTGTTTGTGCCAAACGAAACACAAATTCACCTCAGGTCACTCCATCTCAACTCGGCTACCCCTCAAACCTTGGGCAGAGTTTTCTGCATAATGCATCATTTTCTACAAAATAAGATTAGGATGAATGTTACATTTGACAGGGAGTTTAAAAATATAGAGCAGTTTTTAAGAAAAACCCAACAAAGATAAAAATATACAGTTGAAATCAAAAAGTAACAGCCTTTGACATCTTATGCCGCTCAAGACTTGCGCTTGAATAAAGCAACGCAAACAAAGCAAGAATACTTTACTTTACTTTTTAATTCAGCTCACCATTTGACATTGCTTAAAGCTTGAAAATTGCTTTTGGGATTTTTTTTTGGGTTTTTTTTTTTTTTTAAACCCCTAAAACCCCCCCCCCCCCCCAAAAAAAAAAAAAAAAAAACTGTAGTAGAAGTTACGTAAAGTCGTGAAAAAGTCAAGTACAACATTCTTATTGAGCAGAGGTGTGTAAGTTATTTATGCATGTACTCGTATATTTGGTGAAATATAAAAGTAAAATTCCACTAAAGAACAGACTCCATGACATTTAATATTCATGTTTCATCTCCATGTTACATTGGTTTGGTTCATTTTCAGTCTGCTGAAATGAGAAAAGGAGAAAAGGCTGCATTGCTGCTCAGCTGCTTCAGACAGTGAGCTTTGATGTCCAGAGTTTGGAATGGAGAGAGAGACAGATAGTGGGTGAAATGTGTAGGTGAAGGGTGGGCTGGAGAAAAAAAGAGAAAGTAAATAAAAACAGCAAGGTTCAACAAATTGTTATTTTACTCCTAGTTCCCCTCCTTTCTCATTGCCCCTTCTCCCTCTTTACCTCCCATCCAGCTCTCCAGCCCCTTGTCATGTGTCCAGGCAGAGGTAGTTGTTTTTGAAAACGGCACACACACATACACACACACACACACACACACACACACACACACAGTGTCCTAATCAAAGCCAGGCTCTGCACATTGTGTCCCAGTTGAGCAGCTATTTTTATCTGCAGCCCACTAACAGGGATGGAATGGGTCAGATAGGCCAGGCTGACGAATCCATCAAGACCAACAGATAAACAGTCGGCATTCAGGACCCCAACTACACACACACACAAACACACAAACACACACACACACACGTACACACCTTTACACATTTACTGTTAAGTAAACAGATAAACCATATCTGTTTCTTTCTCATGAATACAAACTCATACAGCCCTTGTCTCTTTATCTCTCTACTTGCTGATACACACACACATGCACACACACATATGCATGCACACTTTCGACTACAGGTAGGCCAGCCTATGATGTGGTGTCATGTTATGTACCCATCAGTGTAATGTTTTCCTGATGTGCTTATGTCTGTATTTCCTTGTTTGTTCTGCCTCTTCAGTGCCTGAATATGTGTCCTTTTATATATACACACACACACACACACACACACACACACACACACACACAGTCAGTCCTGTCACATTAGCACCAATGCACACACACAAAAATACACACACACATACACACGTGGTTACAGACACATGATTACTGATTTACCGTCGTGAGAGAAATCCAGCTGGCAAAGATCCAGTTTCTGGCTTGTTAGTTTGGGATTCAAGTGCTCTGGCTTGGACCCAATTAGTTTCTCTCCCTACCTCACTCTCTCTCCATTTACTTTGCTGTCATGAGTATGTGTTGGATATGATGTGCGGTATATCCACATACTGGAAATCTTAACAACACGCAGTGTGCAGTATATGCTGTACATTGAAACAAAACTGAGAGGATGAATTGCTAAAGTTATGTCAGCTCAGACTATACTCCCCTGACTAATGATAAAACGCCAGTGAGCATCAGATCAGCATCCAACAATTTCCGGCAACTTTCTGACTTCTTCTGGCACTTTTAATACAACACTATGAATCCCTTCCAGGAAGAAAAAAAACCTGTCTGAAAATATGCACTTGGATCCAGATATCGCATAAATATTATAATTATATCGCAGAAATAATTATCGCATCATGGTCCTCACTATGACAGCCCGCTTTTCACCCCACCTCCTCTTGTGGTCGTTTTGGAATAGCCATAAATACTTTTGCCCTCCAATGAGATCTTACTTACAAGTTACTGTGCGGAGTTGTTCTGATATGAGAAAGAGCGTCCCTTCTATCTTGTATTATTTTTCTGTGCAGTTACTGTATGTAACAATTCCTCATTCCTCATTGAACGAATGAGTGAATTTTGGTTTAAATGCACTTGGTCTCTCTCTCTCTCTCTCTCTCTCTCTCTCTCTCTCTCTCTCTCCCCCTCTCTCCCCCTCTCTCCCCCCCTCTCTCTCTCTCTCTGGTCAAGGCTTCCTCTTTCTCTAACTCCGTCCCTCTCCTCTATGGAAACAATGTCCCTGGAGTTTTCTGTCATATTCTAAGGCAACATGTGCATCTTCTCTCTGTAATTGTTTTTTCTGTACATAGAAAAAACAAAAAGATAGAAAAAAAACAACAACTGCAGCTGCCGGGGGAAACGCACTTCAGCTGTGTTTCTTTATCTTTGAATCTTGTTTACCCGGTCTCGGTCTGTCTCTCTTCCTACCTGTCCCTCTATTTATCTATTTCTGTCTTTCTATTAAAGTCTAATATTCAGCCCCTTTGCTTGCTTTCTTCTTTCTTTGTTTCCTTTTATATGTTGCCAATTAAAAACAGTAACGCACACACACACGACACACACTCACACACATCTTCAGCCACAGCTTGTCTTTGAACATCCATATGTTCTGGACATAAACATGCACCCTCCCACATTCATTTGTCTTTCAGCTCTATACTCTCTATCCACACACATATACTGCTTAAAGGGCCATGCGATAGTAATTTAGTAGCATGGAGGGGCAGGAGGGCTCAGCTGGAGTGTGTGTCTGAGTGGAAGACGACTCTGCGATCCAGTTTATTGGCAGAAAACAGGAAGTCGCCTCTTGACTCATACCTCTGATTGTCTCATTACTGCATGCACATAAACCTGATGATATATATTGTTGTGCTGATGAATTTTATCATAATGTTTTTTCAAACTTGTGATGTGATATGAAAAACTGAAATACTAAACACTGATTCAGTCACTTTTACAGAGTCAGGTATGCACACAATTATTTCTTGTCAATTTCAGCCACTGGGAAGCTCGAGGTCATACTGAAAAACACCTATCTCTAACATATTTGTTTGTTTTTTTTATCACCTTTTCCCCGCTGTATTTGTTGGTCCTTGCTTGTTTAAACATCCAGTGGATTCATCATTTTCCTGGTCTTCTTTAAACAGGTGACCTGCTTCAGTTCAATCTCCTCTTACTCCTAATGAAAATATCTTGCTCTTTACCTGTTCAATGTTGTGCTTTATTCAACCATTAGTTGCTAAAAGCATGTTTGCTATAAACAGCCTCGTGCCGCTGGAATCAGGGTTGATGAGAGCACCGAGCCTGAACCAAACAGTAAATCATTTTACACTCCTGTCTTACAAATATTTGCTTTGTCTCCCGTTTACTGCAAACTCAAGCAAGCCTTTCCTGCTTCAGTACATTCTCCAACCAGCTATGGAAGATTCATAGCTCAGTGTTCACCTGTGTGTGTGTGTGTGTGTGTGTGTGTGTGTGTGTGTGTGTGTGTGTGTGTGTGTGTGTGTGTGTTGCCCCACCAACTCTCTGTCACTCTCTCTCTCTCTTTCTACATTGAAGCAACAGACCCTGTTGTAGTCTGACTGGTTTAAAACTACAACGCATAGCCTACATGTGGATCTGCATATACAGCACTGTAGTGAGATCCAATGCGGACAGCGCCGGGGCGCACTGTCCTGACAGATATCACATACACTGCATACCGCTCTGTCATCCTAAATCACCACAGGGGAAATGTATTTATATCTACATGAAAGCCGGTCATAATGTTTATGCATCAGTTTTCCTCTCTGTGAGGTTTATGTTTGTCCATGCACTAAATTGTGATGAGATGGGAGAAAAGGAACACGGTGCCTGTGTCACGCAATCCCGTGCTGTTATTTGTAACCGTGATGTCTTGTGTTTCAGGTGCGTAACCTGTGTTACATGGTGACACGGAGGGAGAAAATGAAACACACCCTGTGTGACCTCCAGGAGAAGATCTTCCACCTGCAGATACAACTACTAGAAGAGGACATGGCTGGAGGTAAGAGAGAGAAAACACAAGTGTGACTGTGGTTACATTTCTAATTCCAGACACCAATGGAAAAAAACTGTTACCTTTCACCCACTCCTGCTCTGTAGCCGAGGCTGCCAACACACACACAAAAAAAAGTACAATTTTGAAAGCTGAAGTGCATAACGGTTATATCCAAACCCTTGTTGGCTGAGTGTGGTGGGTGGACAGTTTCAGAAATGGCCTGTCATCATTTTTGCACAGTAGGCCACACTTGACACCTGCACACCAAAGAACACTGAAATAATAGCCCAGCCAGATATTGTGACACACACCATCCACATAAATGGAGCTCGATTTCCTATCCACTCTACATGGATCACTGACCTCGATGCATTTCACGCAGCTGCTCAGTGATGGAGATCAGAAGGGATGAAGTTAGCTGGTTGAGTTGATGCTGCAGCGTTGGCTAGATGTCTGCTCAAAATGAGGTTTGTAATCTTAGTGATATGTCAGGTTAAGTGGAGTACTTTTTTTTTTAGCATTTAATCTTTAATCTTAAAACAGCTATACAAAGCAGAGGCAGGAAGAGAATCAATAATAGTTAAAGCATTGACTTTTAGTACATTTGTTTTTTATATAAAATAGCTTTTCAAAACAAATTTACTGATTAATGATTCTTAGGACTGTTCCAGAGCCTGGGAACTCCTCACCTTTTCACACCAATCCCAACCTTATTACTCATTATCTAGTAAGACTGAATCTGAGGATCTTAGATAAGGCTTGGTTAACGAGGAATCCTGATCGAAGGCAGAGGTACAGCGATGGACAAGCCACCATTACTGCGGTGGCACATCATTTGTAAACCTGCGTATAACGCTATAATCAATACAGTGAAGAGAGTTCGCTATCATTACCGTGCCACTTGAAAATTGAAATCCTTTAACACACATTACACTGTGCCCAAGAAATCTGTCCAACAGATAAGAAATACTGGGAAAAATAGAAAGTAAAAGCCATAAAAGCAGTTTTACTTTCCTAAATCTCTGTTATTGTTAAATACTCACGTTTCAGTCATTTTCTGTGACACTTTCCAACACTAGACCGACCAGGGACTAGACCTAGCAATCTGTCTATGCAGGGCCGATTGTGAACTCCCACCCCACATATGTCTTGCTAGCTTGGAACCATGTTTCCTGGCCTGAGATTCCACTTTTATCGAATCGTATGTCCATTTTTATTCAATTATTAATTTCTTTTGATTAAAATGCAAGAAATGATGAGAGTTTAATGACTTAAACTAACAAGCAGTTCCTGTTGGGTTTAATTAACCACTCCACACTGCACTTCTACATCCACATTAGTGATGTCATTCAGAAGCGGTTCTTTAATGTTATTTTTCTGTCATAACCAGTTTCAGACTAATACTGAATACCTTCCAGGTTTATACAGACTCCCTTCATCTGTCGGTTGAGGCAGCTGCGGTCTGTAGTCATTAATCCAAGCATCTCTACTCTCACCATCAGTGTAAATGTGTTCAGTTACACTCTGCCACCACAGTAATGCTGGGGGGTGGGTGTCGTCTTTACTATATTAATTGGTCAGGTGCTTGTGGTTCGTTGGTTCACGCTTAATCAATTTTATACAACCTCAACATTATTACTGAAGTCCTTTCTTCATTACTGCTCATCTACAAGTAGGAGAAATATATCACTCACTCCCCTGCACATGTAGTGTCAGTTCAGCTCCACGTCATACTCCTGTACAGGACTCTTTGTTCATCATCAGGGATGTGAAAACATCCGACTTCCACACAGTGAGGGAAAGAAAAAGTTGGCATCTTGGTCACAGCTCAGTGATGAAATCCTACCGCACTGCAGAGTTTTTTGTTTTGTTTTTTTCTGCCGGGCGGCTGACAGCGCCGTCAGCCAGACGCCGGAGCTGAGAGTAGGAGAGCGGCCAACAGAAACGAGTCACACTGAGTGGGGTTGTTCTGCCCTCCATCTCCATCACCTGTCTCTTCTTCCATCACAGTTAGTTTCGTGGGTTCGGTCATTTGAAGACGAGACTCGGTTTGTAAAGTTTACAGCCTGCCGCGCTGTCGCTCCAGCATTGCTCTGTGTACTGGGAGGCAAAAGTGCAAAGTGTCGACTCGGGTTTTTCTCAAGTGATCAACTCATCGACTTTTAGGGTACGGCCTCTGTCGAGTCCAGAGGAGAAAGAAAAACAAAGAAGCTTCCACTCTGTCCTTAACTTGGAATCACTTCATTGATTGCCAATATATTGCCAAACGGCCCCATACAACAGCGCCTTACATATATAAACAGGACAAAGCCGCCAATCGGAGCATCAACCAAACCTTCCAGCATGCACACAAACTCAGGTTAATGAGCTGTTCAGATATAAAAACAGACGTGATACTGAGCTCTTCCAAGTGTGACAATCGTAGTGAATTTACCAGTATTATATAAAAAAAGCAGGTTCACATCACACAGTAAGGCCCTCTTAGAACATTAGATAAGTGTGTTTTTCTTTTTGAAAAAAAAAAAGAGAAGCCAATCACAACACTCTGAAATCATTCATAAATAAAAGTGCAACCTGGAGTCTAGAAGAGATTAAGGCATTAACAATTCTCTTTAGATTATCAGTAGATAGAAAGAAGCTTATCTTGTAGATATTTATCAGCTGAAGAAAGCAAGACTGAACTATCTTCTCAACTTGATCATCCAAACAAAGGTTGAAGTTGAATTACACAGAGCAGTCGTTTTCACATTGTTTTGCCAGATTAAAGCTGTTATTGTCACGGTGGTGACGGTGAATCGTAGTTATGGAGATAATGGTTGAGTATAGTTGTTAAAAATCCTGAAGTGTTTGTCGAGGATATCGTTAAGGAACCATGTTAGTTCTTGTAGTCGTGACCTGCAGCTGTCGTGCTGATGACAGTCATAGCTTGTTGTCATGGTAATACCAGTGATGTCTCGCTGGCATGGTAATGATAGTGAACTCTTGTCTGCCTTACCCTGTGGCTGTGTTGTTGAGTGTGTGTGTATGTGTGTGCGTGTGTGTGTGTGTGTGTGGTTAGGGTGCTCAATTTGCAGTGCTCATCACTGCAGAGTAAGGCTGCACACAAATGCAGTCAACTAAATCTTACAAACACTTTCACTCTCTCTCTAACTCACTGTGTCTCTCTCACACACACATCTTCAAACTCAAACTCACACACACACACACACACCCACACAGTCAAACCCACACATGCACACACACACACACACACACACACACGCACACACACACAGTGCAGAGCTCCTGACTCAGCAGACTGCTGCCATCAGGTACTGGGAGCTGAGCTGCTGGCACTAAACGGCCATATCTATTCACACTGCCACAGGAGTTAGATTAGAGAGGCTAGTTGGTGTGTGAGTGTGTGTGTGTGTGTGTGTGTGTGTTAGAGAGAGCAGCAGAGAGTGAAGGATGAGGTTGTCTGCTATAATGATTTGTCGTGTCCCTCACCTTGTATCTACCTCTTTCCTTTGCCTCTTTTATCTTTCTCTCTTATTTTCCACTGTCCATTTGTCTTTATCCTCTCCTGTAACCTATTTTCTCTTCCATCTGCTTCTGTCTCACTGCCTCTCATTTGTGGTGTCCTCCAAGGGTTATATTTACCCTGTCTGTCTCTCTCCTTGGTTTTCTCCTCCGACACCCTGTTTTTTTCGCAGTCCATCAGTTGTTTCAGTCTGTTCTTCTTTTGTCCCTCTGGCCACACAACCGATTTTGTGATACTATGTGACTTAAATGACACTAAATATAACCGAAAACATTGCCTGGAGTTTTTCAGACCCTGCTACAGCCCAGTGTTGTTCAGAAAGTTGAATTGGTCACAGAAGGATGGGTTTGCCCATTTGATCACGTCGAACATTAGTGTGTCAGTTGTGACTTGCAATACATTTGACTGTATTGTCTTTGATCCGAATGCATATGTATACGAATACGCGTATGTTTAAGCAAACACATAACAGGCTAAGCTGAATATGTTGGATATCATGTCTCAATACACTGAACGAGCTCATATTGCTGACTTAATTATAAAAATATTCCCAGTCTGACGGGATGTGTTTTTAAGAAAAGGCCAGATTGTCAATGTTTACTTTTTCTGACTGTTAAAATTGGTCCAACTCTCAGCAGCAGAGTGAGACTCTACAACTGTAAAATCAGATTTTCAGAAACCTGCAGATACCCTGAGCTTACCGTCCACCAGCAACACTACACTTCCTCCTCTCATCTCCCACTGGGCTTGTTTCCATGTAGAAAACACACATCTCTCCTCTAACCCAACTAAAACAGAACCACTAACCTCTGTCCGCCTGTCTGTCTCTCATAGTAGTTCATCTGTCATGTTTCACGCTCTCTCTGCCAGTTGGCCTGTCTGTCTTTCGTGTTTATCTGCCTGTCTGTCATGTCAGGGGCTGCTCTCGTCATGCTTTCTGAATGCTAGCATGTTACCAGCAAGGCGGACTGGCAGGCGGGCAGTATCCCTGTAGTCTCACATGCAGACAGACAAGCTACATGATGCTAAAAGTACAGAGGAAGTAAACTACATGTAGTATCGTTCAGCAGCAAATATCGTATATGAGAACAGTAACAAGTAATACTACTTGGTCAAGCATAGGGAAAGATCATGGTCATGGTTTAAAGAAAAGTGTTGTCAAGAAGCCAGTTCATTAAGAAGTGATCATCACTGGTGCACAGAAGTAAAACTTTGTCTCTAACTAATAAAAAACTCACCTGTTCGGCCAATTTTATTAGTAATGGCTGTGCTTTGGGCCAAATGGTAACATTAGCATGCTCACATACTCACAGTGACAATGCTAACATGCCGACGTTCAGCCAGGTGTGATGTTTTCTTAGTTGCTATCTTATCATGCTAGCATTAGCTAATTAGCAGGAAACGTACAACAGAGGCTGGTGGGAATGTCATTAGTTTTGCAGAAGCAGTAATGGACAAATTGCAGTTATGACCTGATGATAGTACTATGGATCATCACAGTTCCCAGAA